AGAGAAAGTTTTGATCGACCGGAATAAACTGAAAAAGCAACAACGTAAGGTACTCTGGAATTTAAACTATAAAAAATAACATTGCTCCCAAAGAAGATTTTGAAGCAGCAAAGGAGAGAGGGAAGGGAAAGGATTTGTTTTTTTTTATCTTCCCTTCCTTATACTGACAGCTAAGAGACTTAAGCAAGAAATTGAAAAAAAATCCACTTTGACAGTAATAGGCATTTAAGCTGAAAATAAAATGTCAAAGGGATAATAAAGATTTCTGGATACTTAAAAGCTTTTAAAAGCAGGAAAGGAGAGAAAAAGAATAAAAGGGCAGGATCTGGAAAAATGGAGGAGACTGCCTGGAACTAAAAGGAATTTACAGTGAACCTTAACAAGATTCCTAAAAGATACATTTTAACTGAAACTTAGCAACAAAATAATAGAACCCCAGGAAGAGTAAGTGGAAAAAAGAAGCAAGAAGAAACAGCTTTGGATTATTTGGATTACTTGGTGATTTTTGGATTTTTGGCTATTGCATTTAAATGACTAAAATCAATTGGGTGGTTGTTTAAAGGTGTTTAAAATGTTATCACTCTTAGAAGAACTGAAAATGGAACTTAAAAAACAGAAAGAAGATGCACAAGAAGGGAGAGGTTCTTTTGGCTTCGTATTTCAACTTTTAGAAATGGAGATCTGGAAATATGAGAAACAACAAGAAACGCTTGCAGAACAAGAAGATCGGGACAAAGAAGAAGTCATCTTTAATGATCAAGTAATTTTATGTGGGGGGGAAAAGGAAAGGGGGGAAAGAGAGTGAAAAGTATAAGATTTGAAAAAACAACCAAAAAAAAGAATAGTTTGAAAAATAAGTATAATACTAGAAAGCAACAGAAGAGGGGATTACAGAAGACAGAATCAGAAGTAGAGAGACAAGGGGGTAAAAGGGGGAGGGAGAAGAAGAGGGGGAAGAAGGAAAGGAAAAGAAGTTATAAAAGACAGAAACAAGATATAGAGAAACAGGGAAAAGGTATAAGGAGTGAAAGTATAAACCTGTTTAGAGATAATGGGTGAAAATTTAATTGAAAAAGGGATTCTGCAAAGGTACATAAGATAGTATTGTTATATTACAAATAGAAATAACTTCAGAAAATATGACTAAAATGATGGATAAAATATTTATTGTAATGTAGTGGAATGTTTGTTAATAAATAAATGAAATAAAGTGAATGAGAGAATTAAATTAGGAAAGAATGGGAACATTTTAATTATTATTAATGATTTATGAAAATATAAGTGAAGAGAAATAAGGGGAAAAAAGAATTAATTATGGAAAGTTTATAAGTGTTTATAAGGAAGTATGATATTCAATTAAAAAGAAATGTTAAAGATGTTAAGATTTCAATGAATATTAATGATAGAATTGAATTGGAATGGAATGAGTGCTTTATCTATATCTATATCTATATATCTATATATCTATCTATATATCTATCTATATATCTATCTATATATCTATATCTATATCTATATCTATATCTATATCTATCTATCTATCTATCTATCTATCTATCTATCTATCTATATATATATATATATATAATTTTTTTAAAAAGAATATAGTGTGTATTTTAAGAATGTACCAAGCAGAATTCGATTGGAAGTTATGTATTATATTGAATGTTATAATCTTAAAAGTATAAATTGAAGCTTAAATAAGAGTTGAATGGATAAAATTAAAAGATATAAAGGTGTCATACTCCAATTAGTAACTACAGGGGAAAAATTGTTTAATGAGAAAAGATAATACGAAATTGAAACAGGACAGACAAAAGTACAAATACAACGATTTGAATTGAAATATGAGATAATTAAAAATAAAGTTGAGAAAATCAAAGGAGGGGAAAACTATGTAGAAAATGTTAAACAGTAATAAGATATGGAATAGAACACAAAGATGAATATGAAATTGAGTTTGTGTCTGTATGAAGAAGTGATAACCCAGGATCATGCTATTTTCAAAAAAAGATGTCTTATTTGTATTATGTTTTTTGTGAAAACCCAAATAAAATTTTTATTTAAAAAACAACTGATAAAGGAACAAGGTAGCAGAAAAGGAGATATGGGAGAACATTTCCAACACTTTCCTTCAAAGAAGCACAGTTGCTTTAGTTATAGAAGTTATGTCAAGGATCTAATTGTTATGCTAACAGGCACAGATTGGCACGATAATAAAAATCCCGTTTTCAAAGTTTTGTAATGGATGTTACGTATCATGGATGCAGAAATTGAATTATATGGAGGTTGAAAGAAAAGTAGCACCTCTACCTCGGTAACTTTGTTTTAAACAAGGATATTTTAATAAATGAAACGAAAAAATTGTTGCTGTTACAGAATGTCTATTTATTGGCCACAAAAAACAGCTCTTCCCAGTTCATATCTGTAAATTTTAGGGCCCATAAACACATATTTCTCATGTCAGCACAGTCATCACCAGACAATCTGTAACTGATAGTGGATTCCAATTGGAGGGACTTCTTCAGAAAGTCAAAATTTCAGTCATAAATTGTTGGCTAGAGCAGACTGATAAGTATTCAGTGCAAATAGTCCTCAACTTACAACAATTCCTCTAGTGACCATTCAAAGTTACAATGCCACTGAAAAAAGTGACTTATGACTGTTTTACACAGCTCATGACCTTTGTGTGATCAAAATTCAGAAGCTTGGCAAGTGACTCATACTTATAACCATTGCTCTGTCCCAAGGTCATGTGATCCCCTTTTGCAACCTTTTGAGAGGAAAAGTCAATGGGAAAGCCAGATTCACTTAACAACTGTTTTACTAACTTATCAATTGCAGTGATTCACTTAACAACTATGGCAAGAAAGGTCATAAAATGGGCCCAACCTCACTTAACAAATATCTCACTTAACAACATAAATTTTGGGCTGAATTGTGGTCATAAGTCAAGGACTACCTGTACAGCCTTCCATTTCACAAACACTATTAATATAACATTTTATCACATCAACTATCCATCAGTTAAAATGAAAGAACAAATACCAATGAACATGTCAGAGTTTCAAGCAGTTTGGTACTACCATCTGTTGGTAGCGATAACCTTGGTAGAATTACTTTTCACCCAATATTTTATGGTAGTATAAGCAGGAATATGATTTCTTTATTGGTTCACAAAATTAATTCAACTGAATTCTTATTCCAACACTCCACGCATAACTACCGTAAGTCCATAAATCACAATTATATTTTAGATGATATCATGTGAAAGTTAAAATAATAGGAATTTTATATTTATCTACAATATAATAGGAAAAATGCTTTAAAATCATGTTTAGATTTTATAAAACAATATCCAGATGGAATTTTGAAACTTTTGGAGGAACACTGAAAGGAATTGCTAGAGTGACTATAAAGGTGCTTATTTTTTTTTAAAAAAACTTAATTTCATGAACTTCATTCATATGCTGCAAAATTGTTGAAGCTATTGGTAGAAAAATAAAATTGGAATTAAAAAATATAAGAATATTTCATTAAAGAACACAGCAGAGTTAAGAGGGGGCATTCCATGGAATACATGTTGTCAATCAATCTTCATCTAGAATGTAAGAGACAGTGGGGTAGAGTTTATCCAAGATTCAGCAGAGGTTTTACAAAGTCACTGCATTCAGGAACAACCTGACGGCTGGAAAGTGGCCAACCTAATGTCATTATTTAAGATAGGATCTGGGAACACTTCAGGAAATTACAGACCATTTAGTTTTGATTCCTTTGTGGCAGGGGGGAGAGGTCTTAAAAAGCATTTTATGAGATTAAATGGAGACGTTTAGAAAAGCACAGCTTGATTAAGGATAGCCAGTGCAGCCTCAGGAATGAAGGGTCATGCTTCACTAACTTCTGGATTCTTTAAGGGTAAGAATAACAAGGAAAATGAAGTAGATGCCACAGACATTTAAAACACAAGTTTAGGGGAACATAAAAAAAAAAACAACCCAGAAATTTGTACATGTGAAAGTTATGTATATTGAATAGAGACATGTGAAGAGAATTTTTTTTAAAGAATAATGTAGATATTTTCACCCAGGCCCCTAAAACCACATTAATATATTTTAAAGTGGCAGGATAATAAAAAGAAGGTGAAGTAATAGAAAGTGATTTTGAGCAATAATAATTGCACTTTATATTAATGTTGAGATTAAAGATGTAAAGCATTTTATATTAAGTCCATATCTTGCTCAATCTTGCAATGGTTTTCTAAGTATATGACTGCTATATTATTTATCCAAGGCCACCAAACAGTCCTAGCTAGGATTTGAACTGATGTATAGTTTCATTCAATATAACAGACAACCCCTTCTGAAAGAATTAGGCCACATATGAGCCAACTAAATAAATTTTACAGCATTTTATATACATTTCAGAATCACTTTTCTAAAACTGTATTGGCTTCCTAAAACATTTCCCTGTCTTTCTGCACTCCTCATCAATATCTCTTGGCTTCAGGGCAATAATACACCAAGAAATAATAGTTTGGTCCTGTTTAAGGTCACTGGCATCTACTGCTGAGATGGCCTCCCCATGCTGGGTTCCTCAAAAGTCCCACATCTAGAAGCTGCATGAGGTACATATTATGAAAATTATACCTTTAGGAGCTGAGATAACATAATGGTAGTAGA